GTGCCGGGTTTGCTGGACAAAAAGCGGAAGTCGTTGAACAACTCAAAATACACTCAACCCTGATTGGACAACGAAAATCAACAAACATTTCAAATTTCTGTAGTCAGTAATGTAATATAAATTTGAATCAAAACAATTAACAATTGTTGTCGGAGTGAAACTAGTGCAAATCTAAATATTTAAATTTAAGAAGTTTAGTCAGTATAATAACGTTTGTGAATTGTTTTGATTCAAATAATCAAATTATTACAGTACTGTTCCAAGTACTGTCCCCCTTCCCAGTGCCAGTGGAAAGAAATTTGAAATGTTTGTTGATTTTCGTTGTCCAATCAGGGTTGAGTGTATTTTGAGTTGTTCAACGACTTCCGCTTTTTGTCCAGCAAACCCAGCACGCGGATATATTTTGGGCGAATTTTGTTATTCCCTCACAGATTTCAGAGCGAATTTAAGCTCTTTGATTAAAGCATCGTTGTTTTGAGAGTTATACGGTATCATTCTTGCAGGGGATATCGATTAATTGTGAAGGAAATGCATTAAAGGCGAAAAATCGAGGATAGTTTCGTGTGACATATGCCAGTCTGGGCTATTTTGGTCTCAATGTTTCCTTCCTTCCCTCGTTATAAGGAAGGCACAGGCGGGCGGGCAAATCGAGCCTGGGCCTCCTGTGTATAAAGCGCACTTGCTGCGGAACACAAGCATTGCAATGGTTACGCCTAAAATCAGAGGCAAAACCAAGACGTTGGCCTTCTCTTTTGTCTCTATTCTGTGCAGATACTCTCTCTTTATTACATATTATATTTTCTTTGTTCTCGCTTCCATACAATAACAGTTCCCTATATAAAAATACAAAGAATGGATGTATATCTAATACAAAACCCTTGTGTTTGAAGCATACATTATATTCTCACCTCAGTATCACAGGAAGCCAACAAACTTTCATCATAATTCCAACAAACATCCAAAACAGGAGCTGAATGACCAAGTAATTTATTCACACATGGTTTTTCTGCCTTTTCAACATCAAAGAAATACACCGCCATATCCTCACTGCCGCTCACTAAATGAAACAAAGTTAATGAAGTCATTTATTTAAGATAGGTTAGAGTTGACCATAATGCAAGATCAATCCTAACTTACCCACACATGCCCCCTGTCTAAATGACATGAGAGGACAAAATGAGCTGCGAATACCAAGAGACTGGTGACGAATGTTGAATGACCGTTTTAACTTTAACACTCCCTCTTCATTCACGACTCTACAAGACAACATTTCCACAAGGTTACTACTCGCTTGCGACAAAAGGCCCTTGCTGGCAACCATGTCGTACCAACTTTTATTATATAGGGAGAGTGAGATACTGAAAAATACACAGTGAGATATTTTCTATATCTTCACTGGTGAAGATATCGATCACGTGACAATTTGCTTTGGAGCGTGAAATTTCACAATTTTTTGTTTGGGACTATATAATAAACAGAACATTACACGGTGGCTTGAAGATATGACTTTTATCTTCTCGTGTTAAAAACAATATTTTACTCACTCGCTGCGCTCGTTCGTAAAATATTGTTTTCACCACTCGAAGATAAAAGTCATATCTTCGCGCCGCCGTGTAATATCCTCTATGTAATCAGGTGTACATGTGGTTCACTACTTAGTAAGTAGTCAACCACCACATGTACACCACTCTGAGTGCCAAAGCTTTTTCCATGCTCACACATTTGGCAACGGAGGTATTTCTGCGAGCGTGGAACAACCTCGGGGTATACCTTACGTACGAACCCAGGGGCCAGGGTATAACTACACTGCATGCACCACCACTTTTGATATATTTGGTCAACTTTATGTTGGAAAAATTACAATCAAATGCACAGAGCAGATACCTGAAGAGACATAGATTGTTATTAGCCACATTGACAAGGAGTGAGGGATCTCTGGCTTCACGATTTATCCAACTACGATACGATATTGACGTGATCGCACATCCATCTGCAACAACAATTCTGGGGGAAAGTTATGTTAACTTAAAGTTCTGTCTTCATTAGGTTACACTGTGATGATGTTCCAGAATGAGTCCTCATGAGAATTCAAACTCACCGTTTCCCTTTCTGCACTCGCCCTGTCACAATATCAAAACAAAATGCCAATATACCACCCTGCAATAGAAATTATTGTATAAATTATGAAGCAGGTGATGCAGAGTGGTTTATAGGTAAATATCATCACACCTTTTCATCTCCTGTCCAGAGTATCGTACCAGTAGAATCAAAGGCAAGTGATAGCACAGCGCCTGTCGTTCGTCCTGTACCACCCTGGAGAAAACATTTGAAAATGTTTGAAAATTTCAAATCATTATATAACAAACAGATCAGTGGCAGATTACCTTGATACATTTGCCAGTTGAGGTGTTGTAGACTTGAATATGACCTTTTTGATTTCCTGTCTGATCACGTGTTAAGATCTCAAATGTTCATGCTAGGTTTATTGTCTATGGGTGCATCTTTTGCTAATGTTATAACTTCTGTAACAAGCAAAACTACAACATAGAAATAAGCTGCCATGGTTTGTGTCTAAACAACCTGAAAAAGATAAACAAGACTTCAATGGTCTCCATAAAAAAGTTGGTAAGGCTAAAGAAATGCAAAAAAATAAGGAAGAACAATTTACCAAGAATGCTAAAAAAAGATATAAACTCAAAAGGATACGACAATCATATTGTTATTTAAAGGTTGAAATCGACAAGACAGAACTGCACAAAGCCAGTTATCATCAAATACACGAAGACATTGACCAGACGTGGGATTCCAAAGTCGTGATGAACCATCCAATGATGCAGAGACAATGAAATCATTTGCAACTGACCAGTCAAAATCTGACAATGAAATTCATTACTAAATAAGTTTTAGTCACAATTAGCTTCAGTTTAACATCTTTAAGACTTTATGCTATGGAAGATATTAGACGTACCTTTGATAGAAGCTTTATGTCCTCTTAAAAAGCAAGTAACAGATGGAGATGGTATCAAATGACAGACAGATATAGTACCATCAGATGAACTGCAAGCAAGTTGATGTTTTTCATCATGAGCAAACTTTATTGATGTGACTAGATAAAAATTAGCAAGAGATTATGCATGGAATTTTATGTAGAGATATTCGCAGAGATATTTATTTATAGTGCACAACGGTTGTACCAGTGTAGGTATCGACAATAACACCAGAAAGCTGCGGGTCTTTCATGCATTCACTCAAAATGTCAAAGTCTAAATCCCTCTCAGCTTTCTGGTATATATTGTAGCCTGTTTTTGCAAGCCAAAATTTAGGAAGCTGTTTACAGTTAATATCACAGTATAAATGGATACGTTCTATAAGATTGCACACATTAAAACCAATAATTTATTTTGTGTAAAACTGCCAGGACTACTACAGAAAGCTACATCCTGCTGTTTCAACTTTTCTTAATGCTACGTACCAGCCTCTGCATGTTGATCAAACACATGATGCATGCCTGCAAATGCATAGTTTTCACCCAAACTTTTGTTTCCTGCCATTTTCCTACACATACAACACAAAATTATCAATTAAATTTAATGTAAGACAGATTAAAATAATAGAGTACCACATTTAAGAATCTTTCTATGGTTATATATACAGTATTCCCAAATTATAATCGGACCTGCTAGCCTCTGCTTTCTTTGTGGGTACAACGCCTTGCAAAGTTGAGTCTTCATGTATGGTCATAGCTACATCAGGGGTTGGTAAAAACTGGAATGACCCAGCGCTATGGTAGCGATGATGCGTCTTCACAGTTGTACCATGATCATCCACTTGCAATGAATCAAAACTTTGCTACATGGAAAATAAATATATCTCACAAAATTGTAATCATACTTTCCTATCCATGGGCATTGCCAATCTCAAATAAAATCTGTTAACGATAACGTACCTCAACAGAACTGATTCTGCTTGGAATGCTTGTACTTCTACTCCTAGAAACAACAGAAGATTTAATATCTGAATGAATGCTTAAATAATAAACTGGGTAAAAGATAAAGTTGTACCTCAGAGATTGGAGATCTGCTCCATGTTGTTTGCTCAAAATCAGTTTTCTCAAATGCAGATATTGGCGACGAACACTGTGATCAATCTAAAAATATATTTACATCGATTAGGCCGATGGAATTAAGGTATCAGTTTACTGTCACCTAAAATTTCAAAAGTTGATGCAGATTTTTTTCATTATTCATTATTTTTTTTCGATTTGAATTTGTCAAATTTTGAGCTAAAAATTTAAATTTTGACGGAAAAAGCTAGCTTCAGAGCTATCATCCATGTCTTTGACTCTGTTTCGTTGTGGCTTCGCTAACTGTATAAACAAAGTCAGTATTTGCCAAAAAATTCAACAGAAAGCCAATTTTTGAAACACTTTGCCATACAAATTTGACAAATAATGAAAAAATATTGAAATAATGATAACTTCACACAGCTGGCAATAACACATGCGGCGGGTGATGGTAAACTGATACCTTAATTCCATCGACCTTACCAGTAACATTCTGCTCAATCAGTCACCATTCTATTCTTATTCTTATTGCATTATTCCCCCCCCCCACCACAGAAGATGTTCTGCAATCCGGGGGGGAGGGGAGAAAAAATTGTTTCTGATAATAGTAAGCGTACTAGGACACCTGAAGGGTATGGGGGGTAATTTTAATGACACTGGTTGATTGCCAGATTCAGGACTTGTTCCAGAATTACTTTGACCTTCCCATATCCTATATCAGACCAATCAATATTTCATAGACATGAGTTCTTGTGTGGATTTGGCCCACCCCCACAGAACAAGCCCTTGACTCCTCATTTTAAGATAAATCTACTCACATTTTTCTTTGCTATTTCTCTCAACAACTGAGTCCTTCTTCGTATATACAATGTTCCTGTTCAAAAATATTACAATACCTGTCAGCAGTCCAGCAGAAAAACACAAATATTGAATCAAATATCTATCAGCATATTTGGTTTACTTACTATGTTGAGGGCTTGCTTGAGCTCTATACGCGTTAAACCTCGCATCTAAAGCCAAAATTTGTTGGCAAACATTCATATTTTCACTTTTATTAAACAACCAAGTGATCAATAAGCAATTAAAATGATCATTCCAAAATCATCCATCATTTCTAGTTTCCTAACAGCAAAGCTTTATAGAAAGTAACTGATACGTTGAAAATGAGTTTTTACGTGAAAAGTAGCTTGGTATAATATAGCTCAGTTAGCAAGTCTTAATCCACAATTGTTCTGGTCAAGTCCCGACAATATTTTATACTTTTAAATATATATACTGTAAACATAAAAAATTTCCAAGATGGCGGTTCTCAGGTGGAAAAGAATGATGAGGTAAATCAGGCCCTAATCAGGCAAGGGTTAAGTCTTCTAAAATGTTACATCTGTCTAAATATAAATATTTAAAGTTAAACAGTTCACAGTGGAATTTCCTGTAAGGGCACCTAGCTGATATGCTCTAGTACGGCCAGTTTCCTATGTCCCAACACATGCATAAAGTTTGAAACAGTGTTGTGTCCATTCAGTGCTCATATATTATAGACAGATCAGTATTTTATAAATTATCATGTTTGATTTTGAAATTCTTGTACTAAGTCCTCAACATGTTGCTTTGCAATCCTGGTTCCTTGACAAGTCAGTGAAAAGTCCTAGAAAATAAAAATGATTAATTTATCCTTACAATTGAAGTTTTTCAAGTCATGATCAAGATGCGTTCTTACTTTTTCTGCGCCATATATCGACCCTTCGTGTGGTTGTCCTGTAGCAACTTCAGTTAAATACGTGATTTGTTCCAGGAGTCCTTTCTCAACACCCTAAATCAATAACATAATCTACAATCACATGAGCACAGACACGAGACGTCTGGATCAGAATTCTGATCTGTATGTAAATTTGTTCCATTCTGTTAGTTCACAGAGGAATTCATGCAGGTAGTCCTCATTTCTCTGACCCACTATAGTGGGGGGACATGACATGACATGAATAAAAAATAGGGACATGTCAAAAATAGGGACATGTCAAAATTTGACCAAACCTGCAAAAGGTCCTAAATATAGGCTAGTATGGATCAGAGAGATAGATATGTGGAGAATGTCTATATGCTGAATTTTGACTTATTTCATGCATCCTATATGAACTAAAACAAAAATCATGAAAATTTGAGTACAGTTTCTAATTCATCCAGTTATCTATAGAGGGCTTACCTGTAGTGAGTTGAGAAATTCTCTCGTGTGCATGTTCAAATTCTCTTCCACTGGTTGTTCTTGTGAAAGTTCCTGTAAAGCATGACCAGCACTTGATACTACCTTAACAATTTCCTAAATAAATATAAGATTAAACCATAAATCCATAATTACTTGTGAAGCACTATCATCAAGCAGATGGTAGTAATTTTACTACATGTAGTGAGTGGTCTTGTATTTTCTGGCAAACAAATAGAATTGTCAACATTTCTCAAGAAATATAGTTTCAAGCAAGTAAAATGCAGAAATCTTTCAAGTTCCACAACTATACTATATAAAGTTATAAACTATTTTATACTATATATATAAATTATACATACTTTTTCAATTTCTTGCAGTTGTTTTAAACGGTCTTGAGATTGTGAGGAAGACATATTTCATACAATATTTATACCATGACAATTTTCAAACCAGGATTTTTAAAATTTTTACCGTATAAAATCACTTGCTTTATTTGTAAATTGTAATATAGTTTTGTGTTGTTTACATACTTCATGTTGGTACAAATGAAGTGGTTCAAGGGTATATTTCTAAATTTAGAATATTGGGCGGGAAAAAGCAGGAACTATAAAAATATTAAGCAGTATTTTGGTTGTATAGCTAAATTGCGCCCGCCAATCTAAAGGCATTTATATGCCTGCGGAGTAGGCTATTGATTGTACAACAGTACAAATTATAGATTGTACAAGTTGTGGTTCCGGCTATCTCCTGCGATCATTGTCCTCGTTAGTGTCACCATTCTCATCATATTGTTGGTCGTTCCCCCATGAGACTAGATTTGGAAAACAACATCCAGCTGGACACTCCGAGCGACATTGTCCTGGGGAGCAGTAAGAGGGACAGTGTACGACTGATGGGAACCCTGCAGTGGCAGGCTGTTGCGGGTTAGTACAACACAATGGTTGACAGGTTGATGTACATGAGCCAGACCCACAATTTGACGGACAATATACTGGTGAACCTACATGATAAACATCAATGTTATTACACCCTTTACACAATTATGAATACTTCATTTGTAGAAAGGCTATTTCCTCAAAATTCATGAGGCCAGGGAGGGATTTGTGACATAATTATAAATGGGTGAATTATGCTGTCAAATATGGTTTACAAACATGAAAGTTTTGAATAAACAGTGTTTAATAAACAGCAAGTAACCTTGTTGAAACCTACCATAATTTTCAGGCTTGGTGACTGGAGGTGCAGTGACTGTGGCAGGTGATGGAGGAGGAGGAGTACCCGGGGTCAATGGGTTCGGGGGGGATGTGGGAGGTTGGGGGACTTTAGTAGGAGATTTTCCTGTTGGTGTGGAGGGTGGCCCAGGGGTAGAGGGGGTCTTTGTGGGTGATTTTCCAACTTTCTGTGGGTACAATACTTTGTTTCCTTTATCTATAAATAGAACAAAGTTGCTTTGTGAGAGCTGTTTGCTGACAAAAATAGACAGTGCCCCAGCTGTAATGACACAGTCTTTTTGACGGCTGACTTGTTGCAATATACCAACCTATAAATCCAATGATAGTATCCACATTATCACAGGGTGTAGAGAATGTTAATGCTACATTTGCTTGACCTTGATTGCTTGAAATACATTTCCCACTTTTAATTTCCATCAAAGATCCACCCCTAGTGAACTTAAACTGCAGGGCATGAGGTGTGTTGTAACCAGGTCGATACAGAGTGCACGGGTAGTTCAATGTCACACGGTCACCATGAGCTGTTTTGAGTGGGTCACCATTTTGAATGCCCTGAAAACACATGCCACTGGCGAGATGTTGTATCACCCCATCACGATGAAGTTTGAAGAAGTTAGGTAGGTTGCCACATGGGTTTAGTAACATGACACTTGAGGCAGGACCAGGATGCATCTTTGAATCAGCTGGCTGGATACACTGAGGGTATGATATGAACTTCAGGGATGTTGCAGGATATGCTAAATATGATATAACACAAACAATTTGTGATACCACAATAAGTCATTACAAGTGCTTGCCCCTCTGTGACAGACAAAATAATAAAGTAGGGCGCATTTGGATGTGTTGCAGGCTTGCAGCTTATTAATGAGTTAATGATCTCTGAGGATTTCTTCACAAAGTTAATCATAAAGAAGTTTTACTCACAGTCAGTGACGGGTTTCTCCAGAGGTTTACTAACGTCTAGCCAGGAGGAGACAAGGAATTCATAAATAATCTGAAGCTGGAAAATGATCAGCACCTAAGACGGAAAAATATTTCACATGATTAGCAGCAGTACTGTGGAAAACCCTCCTCAGGAACATTTGCTTTGGCCAGAGGCGGTAGAATGTTGGCCCTCCCTCCCATGAGAAAATTCATTCTATAAAAATAATGGAAGCCTGGCCCCACCTAGGTTTTTGCTGCCCCCCCTGACCAAAAATCCTGGCTACGCCTCTGGCTTTGGCAACATACACTGTACGTTATGGGTGAATATTAGGCAATCATTATATTTAAACGAAACACGTAACATAAATACAGTCAAGTGTACTTTACAGCACTTTATTTTATAAATTTCTTTGGAGAAGCGTCACTTTTGATTCATAATGTGAAAATGCAGGATTTCTGTTTTCGTTTTACTGTTGTTTGCAAGCTACCATTAGGGGTGCGATTTTTTTCAGGTTTGGTTACGTTTCAAACGGTCAGGTTTTGACCGGAAAACGTTGACGATTTAAGCAATAAAGCAGTCAACGTTTGCCACAATCGTTGATTTGGCTTGCTCAAAACGTTACTGTTTCCGGTCACAACCTGAACGTTTGAAACGTAAACAAACATGAAAGGGTTCTCACACCTACTTAATAGTAGGTTGCAAACAGCAGTAAAGGGAAATTTTATTGCCCGTCAAGTTTGTTAAAGATTCATGTGTTTGGTACGAGAAAAAAAAAGCGTAGCATATTTCCACACTAGTGCTTTATAGGAAACAAAGAAATACGGTTGAAATAAGTTGAAAATTATTTCAAAACCTTTTCAATTTTCCAATTCGGCGAGCCTCCCGAAACGTCTTGACGAATCCTGATTCTCAACAGCTGTCCCACATCTTCAATCTGCACTTGGAAAATTTTTGAACTGAAAAAATAATTTAGATGTAAATGCTGATGAAAAACGGTGTCATTATAACCGTTACTTTTACTGGACATCTAGGGAGACTAAGAACTGATAGAGATATCCTGTATAAATAAAGTTCGTTTAGTTTTATCATTTCTTACTTCGACGTTTGACTGCTAGATTCCAAAGCTGGACTTTTAAGATGGATTTCAGAGCTCGTCGCCAGTGCTCCAAAGAAAGTCATGTAGACTTGTGCTTTTGAGCCTTCTTTTGCCACGGAACCAGTGTACACGATAATATTATAGATGACACCTAAACATCAAGCAATATTATAACGAGACTTGCAGCCTGGGAAAGTCAAGATGGTACAACACTGACCTGGTTTGCTGGGTTTGACAGGTGCTGGCGGTGCTGGTGGCTGCGGTACCGGGGGTTGAGGTGCCGGGGTCACGGGTTTGGGTGCTATAGAGAACACAGGAACATGTGTAAATATGTGCAAAATCGATGTCAGGTATATAGGTAGGTTTCAGTGGCAGCCTATGATGGTTCATTTGAGAACTATCGACATTTATAGGTGCAAGAAATTGGACATCATATCTCAATTCTACTGGCTTCAAACGCAAGACTTCTACACATAATGAAAATGAATGAACTTTATTTATCAGTCTGTTGGCTGCCTACCATCTACTGTAGCGATAGTGCTTGGTGAAACCCAGGGATAGACAATAGTGCTTGGTGAAACGCAGGGATAGACGATAGTGCTTGGTGAAACCCAGGGATAGACGATAGTGCTTGGCGAAACCCAGGGATAGACGATAGTGCTTGGTGAAACACAGAGATAGAATGAAGTTCAAAGTAATTACTCACGGGTATTGACTTTAAATTCAAAATATTGGTTCGCTGTGTTCACCCATGCCTGGGCAGGAAAATCAAAAGAATTCCCATCTTGAGTAGCGACAGAAACCTGAAATTATAAAAGTTCAACCATACTCCCAATGAACTCAAGATTGAAGTAACCAAATAGAAAACAATCATGTCTTGTTTCGTCAGAGATTTAGCGGGGGGGGGGCATCTTTCCTCGACTGGGTCAAGGCTGACTGGGCTTCCACCAGTTGTCACCGCAGACTCCTTTTTATGTTTTCTCGTAAAACCACCCTCCCGCACAGAGGTTCCTACCATCCCTATTAGTGTCTGTGCTGGTAGTCTCTGCTTATAGTCGTGGTATAAAGCAGGGTACAATATTGGTGAAGACGGGATAAAAGACTACGGCTGTCCTCCTCTGCGCAGGAGAGTGTATAGTAAAACTATTTCAAGTAAAAAGTTCAAAACGTACGTCTTCTAAATACCAATTGTTGCCTTTGTCATCTCTCATCACTTCAATCTTAGTCAGGTCCATTAAGTCTTCGTCATCTTCGACATTGAACGTATTTGTTCTAGAAGATCGCATGGAATGTTACTGTACGTCTAGAATATCATTTGGAACAAATCGAGCGTAGTAGGCTAAACCACGGTTAATAGAACTAAGAAATCTTACGATGAACGTAAAAACTTGTCCTCAGGCACAGCCCCAGTCAGATGTATTGGAGATGTGTTTGTGGGCTTTCTAGTCTTTTTTGATGTTCCAAATATCTTAATAAAGATTTTAGCTTTTGTTGAACCATATTTCACATCACCAGTTTTTACAGTTACTGTGTATTTCACTAGAAACGAAATAATCACACTTATTGTCATTCTTTATTCTACATGCATCTTGCCAAAAAATCTTGTTCACGGACCCCAATTACACCGTTTACACGTTTTTCCGTAATCTGACGTTATCACATAGTCGGACTTACCTTTGGATGTAGTGATAACGGGTTTTACAGGTTGTATTTGGGGAGTAACAGGTTTTACAGGTTGTATTGGAGGCGACGCAGTGGAAGCTAAAATGTAATTGAAAGTATTGTTAGGAAATTATACATAGCGAGCCCCCATTGTGTTTTCATTGTTTTGAAAATCCCGCTGTTCCCCAAACCATCCAAGTACTCAATCTTTTAAATTATTTGTGATCTAATGAAAAGGGTGTATTCAATTCAAGTGATGATTGGTACAAATATCTCGGTTACATACCTGAAATTAACTTCGTAACAGGATAGTACACGTCTTTTTTTATTAACCAAGTATTTGCACTAAATTCATATTTATCTCCTTTTTCTGTTGTAATAATAATCTGAAATACAGGAAAATATTAAAGGGAAATGGCAATATATTTTTTTATTTTCTCGTTTGAAAGAACATTTAAAACTATATATAAAACTCTTTTACCGTTTTTTCATATCTTGCTTACTTCTACAAATATTTTAATCGAAAGAAATGAAATGTCCGCCATCTTGGATTTTTGTGGATATGCATGTTACGTCACAACAGGGGTCACGCAATATTTTTATCTAGACAATCACTAATCATTTTGCACTCAAAATTATACTCTGCATGCCATTGGAAATATCAAGATCACTTGAAACGTTTAAAACATCTACCAATCATTATTTGGTCAGTAACGAATACTTTTATATGGTTAATCCCTGTTGTGACGTCACCAAAACTACCGTTAATGAGATCAAAATGTTATCCAAGATGGCTGACATCTCGTTACTTCAAGTGAAAATATTTCAAGAACTAAGCAAGATATGAAGAATCGGTAAAAGAAGTTATTAAATAGTTTCAAAAGTTCTTTCAAATGAGAAAATAAAAAAATATATTGCCATTTCCCTTTAAGCAATAATTCAAGAACAAATCAAAACAAGCACCATTTCATATCGCGGCAGAAAACGTCAATAAATGGACGATAGTTTCGTGGCTCGTTTTAGAAATCAAACAAGTCGTTTATTATCAGTGATTTTAAAACATCTTAAAGTATCTAAAAATTCGTAGAAAGAAACACCGGAATCGCGGGTTCGATCCCCATTTTTCGCAACTGTTCCTGGTAATAAATGTCTATAAATTTCCACTCGACAATATTTCAACATATTTCAAATAGGGAAATACCTTGTCCAGTAGCCAGTGTGGGAGAGGCCATAATCCTGATATTTTTACTTCAACTTTGTTGATATCTATCAAGTCTTCATCATCTTTAAGATTCGTAAAAGTATCAGTTCTAAAATAATAAACATCGTTTGTTAACTTTAGGAGTGACGTTGCTCACCATACCGAAAATATTTTATAAGCACGGTGGCTGACCTAACTTAGCTCCGGTTCTAGAAAAATAATTTTATTCAGTATGCTGGATAGCTCTATCAGTTCTATAAACTGTTCTCCCTAGAGGTTCAGTAAGAGTCATCTCTTATTGATATATCCAGGGTTACTGCTAGGGGAAACCTAAATTAAACTAATTTTATTTAGCTATATCAGTTCTAAACTGTGCAAGTCATGCCTTATTGATTCAGTGTTACTACAGGAGACCCCTAAACTAAACTAAACTAAACTAAACTAACATCGATCTTAGATAGCTCTATCTGTTCTCCATAGAGGTCCAGTAAGAAGTCCTGCGGTGATTGGTAGAGACAAACTGGAAGCACTATCCTGAGAGCAGAGCCCGATTCCTTTCTCGGGGGACATGTAACCAAGCTTTAATGACCACTGTGTCACATTTTACCCTGATCTGCATAACCTATGCTGGAGTTAGATTTCCTAAGACAAGAAAGTTTTGTCAACTTACTGTCCACTTTCAAATTTATTGATGTTCTCACTTTTTTTCAGCTTAATGGAGTCGGTGGAAACAGCGAGTTTCGTCTTTCTAGATTTTCCATGGATCTTGATCTTAACATCGCAATCTGTCCCAGGACCATCAATCAAGCTATTGGGATTTCTACCAGTACCAGTCTTCACAATGACTGTGTACGTCGCTGCCTCTGAAAATATACAACACATGCTTTCCAATTACAATTCCTGTGGGATAGAAAAGCTATTCAGGTCGTGTGGAAATGCCTCGACAGTGTGTCAGTACGAGCACCAGAGAGCACTGACATATATAATTCAAGTAAAAGCCACAAACAACATACAACGGTCATTTCGTGGATAAAAATGCGTGTACAAGAAACCATAAACTATGAAAACTCTATCACAGTTCTTCCACAGACTTATTTATGTAATATACGATTATAATTATATGTTAATATTAATACAATGAAATTACGATATTTTTACTGTTCAACATTTATATAAGGTTACACTTATATTTATACTTAGTCTTAAAGACAAAGTTAGCATTTGGAAATGATGTTTACAATCAGATGAATCAATGTTGATATGTCTGATATTATATAACCAGTCGCAGATTATATTTTAATTTTAACATCATATATTTTTAGATATTTAACTAGAAACAAAGAGATAAGATTAACTAGAAACAAAACAAAACAAGCATAATTAACTAACCTGAGGGTATGACAATGAAACAAAACGCAATTAAAACATTGAAAACTTTTTTATTCATGACTTCTGAAAGTGTCAATTAAGTCATTTGTGAGCTTTTGTGCAACAAGAACACAAAATCTTAGTCGTAACATCTCACCAGTCAGGAGGCAGGTGGACCACGGGTTAAAAACAAACAAGAGCAATGAGCACGAAGACAACGGGCACAGAAAGGATTCTGAAGCACTGTAAACAGATTTGTACTTGTAGTGTTCCAATTTGTCCACCTTGGGCCGGGGTTGTTCAAAAGGCGGTCAGCTTAACCCTGGGTTAACGTGAAATTCAAAGCAAACTTCCCGGTAGTTTGTTTATAAACTTGAAAATATTTTTTCAGAAATCTTGTCTACAGACGTACAGACGTACAGATATACATAAAGCAAAGGTTTAAATTTAACCCAGGGTTAGCGCTAAACCTGCTTTGAACGGCCCCAGGGGATTCATTCGATTGGCAGTGGTCGATGTCATCCAGTCATCACGTGTGTTAACACACACAAGGTCAAGTCTTTTGTAGCAAACATCGGGATACATACCACGGCAGGTTATTAGAGAATACTAGGGACCTTAAGCATGTACGACGGCAACGCGACGACGACAACCAAAACAAACTTCAAATAAATTATTGCGAAGAAGGGTTGTTATGTATTATCCACTGCATATGAATTGAATTCAGTTTGAAGAGATGAAACAAAGGCTTTATTGTTAAAAACGCTTCTGCTGAGCAAATTTGTAGTTTTACTTGTCGCGTCTTGACATGTTTGCGTTGTACACGAGACGTGAAAATCTCTGGTTTGCCGTTGTAAAAAGCACTAACACAACGTCTGTAACTCCCGTGGGGCTTTTAATTATTCATTTCTTTTGTACGAGATCAGGAATATCATTGTGTGAATAGCCGTCGTCGTCGCGTTGCCGTCCTGTTTGCTTAAGGTCCCTACTACCTACACTGGACCCTCGCATTTGAGACATCTTTTTCAGGTAGTTCAGACACCTAAACCAGCTTATTGTATATGTTATAGATGTTATTTCTTTAATTATCGTTTAAGAATCTATATTTACTGTACGACACGTAACGATTTAATGATTTAATTAGTTCAACAAATTACATATTTTATACCACTGTTTTAAGAGAACTTATAAGTATAACATTACCAAGTTTAACATTCTTGTTTTCATTACACATTGCAACATGTCATTTTTAAATACTTTATATGTTATATTAATGATTTATACTTTATATTGTTACATTAATTAATGATCCGGTCTTCAACGAAATGGAAAGATATTATCCAAACCTTACGTTATACCAATGACACTTTAACAACAACTGAATGGACAAGATGGTCGACAATGTTTCTTGCAGCCACTTGGACATTGCTGTTTCTGCGTCGTGGACGATCCTTGATTATGAGACATCGAATATCCTCCTTGATTCTGAGGCATGGAATATCCTCCTTGATTTTGAGACATCGAATATCCTCCTTGATTCTGAGACATTGAAGATCCCCCCTGCCCTGGAGGGTAAAGAAAAATAATTTTTGTGTTTGCTATTGTGAATGTAGTTATCCCAACCCACCCTGTCAACTTTCCCTGTGGGAGGAAAGCGGAGTACCCGGAGAAAATCCACGACCTTTGACACGAATGTGTATAGAAAGACTGTTGTTCTGCTGAATCTGCTTGCTGTTCAATAATTAACAATAAATACAGGGGTACGAATGCTGGACAACGGGATAGAGGGTACCGGAATAACAAGAGGGTACCGGAACAACAAGAGGGTACCGGAATATCTACAAGACATATTTATTTCGCGATCTTGTCCTTACAGATTGAGAAACAATGAAAATACATTATTTGTCCCTAAGCCACATACAGATTATCTAAAGCGCTCACTCAGCTACGATGGAGCTGTTTAATGGAATAGTTTACCAACTGAACTTCGTTCGGCACAATCTCTTAGTGCTTTTAAACGAGGTCTAGAATGTTAGTTAGCTTAGATTCACACACGGCAATCATGTAAATCAGTACTGTTCTGTCTTTTGTAAATAGCATTTGTATTTTTTTCCTTTTCCTCCTTTTTCTATACTTTATATACATCTATATTATGTAAATTTTTACTGATGATTCTACCGTGTCAAAATAAAGTTTATAATAATAATAATAATAATAATAATAATAATAATAATAATAATAATAATAATAATAGTGATCAGTTTTTCAACGATTGTGAAATGCTGGAAGATCTATCAAAGTACGGAGATTGAGCTCATAGTTAATAAAAAGAATAAAAATACTAAACTTTGGTCTAGTTTTCAGCATTGATTTACCTGAACAACAGGACTGTGGACATTGACTGGATGGACATGCCTGAGCACTACTACAACTACCAGGACATGAACTCGGTGAGGACGATGACGTTCCTTGAGAGCCTTGGTACCCTGTGTCGCAACAGGATGAAGTACATGAAGGATAGCAACTGGATGAACAGCCACTACCACATGAACCAGAATCTAAAACAAAAAGATATTTTCATCATCTCATGTTTTCTGGACTAAACCAAGTTAACTAAACTAACTCTATCAACACTGGATAGCTCTATCAGTTCTAAACTGTTCTCCGTAGGGATCCAATAAGAGTCTTCTCTCTTTGGGTAAGTGTTACATAAGACCTTATTCATAAATCGTGACGAGGCCTCGTATCCTAGGATACGGGAACAAAACGCGGGAAAACAAGCGAAAACTGCTTGACAAGCCAAATTCAGATGCTATTGTGTCGACTTTAACCGCTTGTTTCTTGTTGCTTTTTGCGATTTATAACGATTTTTGTGTGTATTTTAAGACTTTGTGACCACAACGAAAGCGGTAAATGAGTATATTATAAAAGCGGCCGGTTTTTCTCCCGTTTTTGTGTGGAAAAAACGACAACGTAGCGATGGTGTTTATCCAGAAGCGAAAAACAGTATTTTACTGAGATTTTAACGTCAATATAAAGGTTATTCCGTGAAGAATCAAGACAACTATGTCTTGAATTTGACATAAATATGAAAGAAAACAACAGCCAAAAATCACAAGAGAACGTCAAATGTTATTGATTCGTACGGAAAAATATGAACTATGGCTGTGGCTCGATAACATTCTGCAAGCAGCTTACAAGTTTAAAAAATAAAGGCTACATTACCTGAGTGAGTTGTAATCCTATTTCTTCAACAATAGTTTCATATTTCTTACGATTTTGGTATTGTATAGACGTTTTGTAGCCTTGTTGGTTGTTTGTTTTGGCCATACAAACTACGACAATGATACAAAGTCAAAGGTTTCCTTTTTCGATTGACTCCAGCATCTTTTGCTTTAAATATCATGTTATATTTTCTCAAAAGTATTTTTTTCAACTTTCAAACTCAGTTTTATAGATATTATTTTCGAAAAAAGCCGTAATATTGACGATAAAAAGCTGCCATAGCCGACAGCAAAAAAACATTTTGTCAATTTTCCCGCGTTTTTCCCCGTTTCCTAGGATACGAGGCCTCGATCACGATTTATGAATAAGGTCTATACAGTAGCTGTAATGGCCACCCTGTATAAATATCTGTAATAGTAATAATAATATTAATGAAAGTTTGAACTGGTGTTAGGCAAACTGAAAGCACTCTTCTCATATGTGACTGAGGCAAAAAATGAGAAACTGCATGCATATCGTGGAACCTGTCACAGAGATGCGCATCAGTAATTACTCAAATAATTTCTTCAAACGAGCTTACTTGGCTGTGTATAAGACGTTCCAGTGGAGCAACATGATTGAGCGCAGGAAGGCGCACACGTTGATGGACAGGTACTTCCACATGGACTGACAGCTGAACGAAATTCAAAACAAAATTAAACATTCATATTAGTGAACCCTAAACCCAGCTACCCAGAAAGAAAAAACATTTCCCATCAAATGTGATGTGAAGAGCTGAATCAAACCAACCTGAAGCTGGGGGATTCTGGGTGGCAGGAACTGCAGGCGGCTTGCTCTTTGGTTTACCTGGAGATGAAAAGTGTAGGAGATAAATTATTAAGAATGTGGTGGTTATAATAGCAGTGACGGGGGTGGTAGTGATGATGGTGATGATGATGGTGGCACTGATGATGACGATTGTGATGATGAACGATTATTGCGATGATGGTGGTGAAAATGGTGAAACTAATGATGGTAAAAATGGTGATAATGACCTAAACCAGTAGACGTACCATAAAACTGAACAGAAGATGGTATGGATTCACAAGGCATAAGCTCCACTTGCATGTTATGAAAACCAATGCACAGTCCAGTTTCACTTTCCTGTAGGTATGACTTGCGATCAGGTACTAACGCACGTCTATCGAGTTCCATCTTTCCATGAAGAACATTTTGTCTCTTGAATTGCTCGTCATTATGTCTGCCACTCAACTTCGTATCATTCGAGGCGTGATATGGAAGAATTCCGATTAAATCTCGCACATTTACTGGAAATGTATTTCCAGTCTGTGGGCCAGTGTCATTCGCAGTTTTCTTGAGATCTGATGTTAACTGGAATTTAAGGTTAGAGCTTGGTTTTAAGCTAAGCTTTACATGCTCCAGAGTCTGCATGGACTTCAGTGTAATTCCACTTCTCTTGTCGTTGTCGTTCGATAAAGCATGAGCAACGATGGACTGTGGATGACTTCTCAAGCCCTGGTAACGACCTGAGCTCATCTTTTGGTTGGGAAATACTTTGTGAAGATTGGATAGGCGTGATGTACCATGCAAGGTGTCCATGGCAATGTCTTCACCACCAAAGATTTTTTTCTTATTGCCAATATTACCAGTAGTGACCAGTTTACCATAGTCATTCATATCTCCCAATTCACCATCATCCTGCTGACTTTTGAAAATGCTTGGTCTACCACCACCAACACCTACACTGGCTGGTTTTCTGTTGACAACATCACCATCATCACCAATGCTGCTTGGTCTACTACCAACACCTAAACTGGCTGGTTTTCTGTTGATAACATCACCGTCATCACCAATGCTGTTTGGTCTACTACCAACACCTAAACTGGCTGGTTTTCTGTTGATGACATCTCCATCATCACCAATGCTGCTTGGTCTACTGTCACCACCAACGTCACCAAAAATACTGCTTGGTCTAATCTTACCACTATCGCCAGTTCTTGCTGGTTTCTTACTATAACGGTTTCTGATAACCTCGCCACCAGCAGGACGGGCGAGTTTATAATGACTATCACCACCAGTACCGACGAGTCTACTATCATCATCATTATTGGCCAGTTTTCTACCATCAAGACCGTCCAGTGCACTATGATCACCATGATTAGAACTTGCCAGTTTGCCGTCACCACCAATATCATCATGTAGAAAACTAAGAGGTGACTGTTTATCAGTACTTAGTGGTTGTGACTGACCTCCAGGACGTACTGGTTGTGACTGAACCCCGAGACGTACTGGTTGTGACTGAACCCCGAGACGTACTGGTTGTGACTGAACCCCGAGACGTACTGGTTGTGACTGAACCCCGAGACGTACCGATTGTACCTGAGATAGTTGATATTCAGCAGTATCAATACCTTGGTTAGTCGTACCAAGACCAGTCATATCACCAGCAACAAACAGTCCACTGGCAATATGCTGAAGATTCTTAGTCTGAGTGATGGTAAAAAAGGTATCCAGTGTTCCACAGTTATAACGCAAGACCAGCCGTGTGACAAGGGGTGGTGGAAGGTCAGAATTTACTGGGTTGACACACAGTCCATTCCCTGTGAAACGGATAGACACCGCAGGGTACTCTAGAATACAATATAGCATGAATCAGTTAAATAGTGATCTGCTGTTATGCAGAACTCCGCTGGTCTAAAACATGGACCTTAATCAGTGTAGGTAGTATTCTACAATAAACTGCCGTGGTTTGTGTCTGAAATACCTGAAAAAGATATCTCAATGTGGTGGTCCAGTGTAGGGTAGTATTCTACAATAAGCTGTTGTGGTTTGTGTCTGAACTACCTGAAAAATACATCTCAACGTGGCGGTCCAGTGTAGATAGTATTCCACAATAAGCTGTTGTGGTTTGTATCTAAAGGCTTATTCAACAAAAATAAACTTTACGAATCAATATTCAAACATACCACGGGCAAGTGCAGCTTCCACTGCTTGATTCATGGGTCGATTCAATAGCGTTCGTTTGGATGGCTGATTAAACGGAAATTCATAAACCACGTTGTCATTGTTCACAACCAGAACCTAAACATCCAAAACCATATAAATATCACTCGTTAAGATCGTGACAAGTGTTCATTATTACACGTGCTTCACTGGAAATTGGAGGACATGCCAAGCACCGTTCGGGAACATTCCAAGAAGGGGAATGGTGATGCGGAGTGTTACTATTGTCAAACATAATAAGATAGAACGTTAACAAAAATTCTCCAATCTTTTTATTTCTGTTACTGACCTTCTTAAAGTTAGGCAGTGTGCCACTGCTGGAGACGGCGACAGAATTTAATCCTGGCACAGGCTTGATCATTACGCGATACACCATCGCTCTAAATTCAACACAAGAGTCGCTAAAAACAATTGTTACTGCACTCTTGTCACATTCGGTAGCTTTCACTTTCATTAGCGTTTGCTTTCATTAGCGTTTGCTTTCATTAGCGTTCGCATTCATTAGCGTTCGCATTCATTAGCGTTCGCATTCATTAGCGTTCGCTTTCATTAGCGTTCGCATTCATTAGCGTTCGCTTTCATTAGCGTTCGCATGCATTAGCGTTCGCTTTCATTAGCGTTCGCACGCATTAGCGTTCGCATTCGTTAGCGTTCGCATTCGTTAGCGTTCGCATTCGTTAGCGTTCGCATTCGTTAGCGTTCGCATTCGTTAGCGTTCGCATGCGTTAGCGTTCCCATGCGTTAGCGTTCCCATGCGTTAGCGTTCCCATGCGTTAGCGTTCGCATGCGTTAGCGTTCGCTTTCATTAGCGTTCGCTTTCATTAGCGTTCGCTTTCATTAGCGTTCGCTTTCATTAGCGTTCACTTTCATTAGCGTTCACTTTCATTAGCGTTATTATTTAATCTTATTTGGAAACGGTAACCCTTCAGATCTACTAACATCTGATTTCCAAGGGGCCGTTTACAGTAATACAGTAAAAAATATATAAAAAGACATTAAACAACTAACCTAACACAATACAGGAGCTATTTACAAACACATGACATAATTAGATTCTATTTACTGTTCGCACATTTCGTCTATTCGTAATTATAATCAGCTCGAGAGAATTGTTTTAATTGCCAAATAGAAACGTCATGTAGTTTAGCGGCTTTTGGGAGGCTATTCCATAGACTTACGGCTGAATAACTTATGCTTTTTTTCATGAAATCTGTTTTAGGTTTTGGAAGTGCATAATTGACATTATTATTGCGTAGGTTGTAGTTGTCGTTTCTATTAATATGGAACATGCTAGATATGCTTTCTGGGAATTGCTTATTTTTAACTTTATGCATAAATACTATTTTCTGAGATCTCCTTCGTCCAGCTAATGGTTGCCAACCAAGTTCATTCAGCATATCACTTATTCTTGTATCGTACGGTTTCCCCGTAATTACTCTAGCTGCAGCCTAGACCTAGGCCTTCTAGTCTTATTTATATTTTTTAATATTCAGCGCTTTTTCACATGAAAAGACTGGGACTAGGTGATTTGGGGGCTGGGCGGAGGAACAGGCTTGTGTCCTTCCTCCGCCCCGCCCCCAAATCACCTAGTCCCAGTCTTTTCATGTGAAAAAGCGCTGAATATAAAAAATATAAATAAAAATAGAAGGCCTAGGTCTAGGCTGCTCTAGCTGCTCTATTTTGCATTTTCTGTAATTTATCTTGGAGGTAGACGCTACAGTTTTCCCAAACTAAACTGCAATAGTCAAAATAAGGCAGTACTATAGCCTTATAGACGTTTTCTAAAACTGTTGCCGGAACATATTTCTTAATACGACGTATCATTCCGATATGAAGCCTTGCTAACTATGCTTTCGATCTGGTTTTTCCACGTTAATTGTTCATCGACAATTACACCTAGGGTTTTTGTACATTTTACCCTATTAATATTTGTTTTCCCAAGTTTTAATTCTTGTTCGTTTTCAATTTTGGCTAATCTCTGTCTAGACCCTATTATCATGTATTTGGTCATTTATATGTTCTCTTGACATGGTGCGCTCAATTTTACATATTTGTGTTCTATTGGACAGATATGACTTAAACCATTTTAAGGTAATTGGGCTAGACCCATAGAGATATAGTTTCTTAAGCAGTATATCGTGATCAACACAATCAAAGGCTTTCTTCAGGTCCAAAAATATTACACCATTCAAGCACCCATTGTCCATATTGATCAACCATTTGTTGGTGGCTTGAAGGAGCGATGATTGTGTTGAGTGATTCTTTCGGAAACCTGATTGTTCACCTGTGAGTATCTCATTGGATTCCAGATATTCAGACAATTGCAATGAAACGAGTTTCTCAAAGATTTTGGAAATTGCCGAGAGTATTGAAATTGGTCTATAGTTAGTACACTCTGTCTTATTTCCCGACTTGAAAATAGGTGAGATCACTGCAGTTTTCATATCATCAGGAAAGATACCAGTTTTAATAGATTGGTTAAAGATATTAACCAAAGATGGCGCTATGATATCTGCAGAGTCTTTCAGCAATTTTGGTGAGATTTTATCGTGTTCTGTTGCCTTAGAAACCTTTATAGTGGAAAGTAAATTAAATACTTTTTCAATTGAAACGGTATGAATTTCAAAAGAGGAATTCGCAGGGGTGATAAATGATTCTGGTGTTATGTTGGTTACAGGTAAAGCATCAGCCAGTTGAGTACCAATATAGTTAATGAAAAATGTATTAAAGGCATCAGCAATCTGTTTAGGCTCGGTAACAGAGTGGTCATTCTCAACGTGGATCTCAGTGATGTTAGTTGTTTTAGAATTTTTGTTTGTCAATGTCCTAATTGTGTTCCACATTGTTTTAGGATTTTGATTATTTTCACTTAGGGCATTCATAAAGTATTTAGTTTTCGTGTTTTTAACGAGTTTGTTTACTTCATTTCTTGCTCTTTTATACGCTTCGTGCACATTCCTTGAGCCCGATTTAACGGCCTTTTTTTTAAGATAATCTCTATTTTGCATACTTTTCTTAATATTTTCTGTAATCCAAGGAGCATACTCACTTCTAACTTTCCGTGTAATTGGTGGCGCATGTAGATCAGCAACCGCCAAAAATTTTGATTTCCACTCCTCCCAAAGAATGTTTGGGTTTGTAAGGTTTGATTGTATTTGGAAAATTTCAATTAAATCTGATCTAAAAGCATTAATTTCGAAATATTTATACTGTCTTGTGTTGACAATTTATGGCTCTTTTCGGGGAATAGAAACTTTTCGGCAGACATAGATCATGCTATGGTCACTTATTCCTATGTGTTCCACGCCCGAGTCAATAATCAGTTCTGGCTTGTTACTGAATGCCAAGTCTATTAACGTACTAGAAGTTTCGGTTATTCTCGTTGATTCTTTAATTAATTGATTCTTTAATTAACTTTCAATAGCGTTCGCTTTCATTAGCGTTCACTTTCATTAGCGTTCGCTTTCAATAGCGTTCACTTTCAATAGCGTTCACTTTCATTAGCGTTCACTTTCAATAGCGTTCACTTTCAATAGCGTTCACTTTCATTAGCGTTCACTTTCAATAGCGTTCGCTTTCATTAGCGTTCGCTTTCAATAGCGTTCACTTTCATTAGCGTTCACTTTCATTAGCGTTCGCTTTCAATAGCGTTCCTATATTCATAATATTTCCAGACTACATACTTAGCTCTGGCCGTATTCCAGAATCCGGGTTTTCGTGTATTCTGCTGTAAACGAATACGTTCAGTTCGAGAGTTTGAGCCTTTCAAAACAAGGTTTATGTCGACATCACCCTGAAATATTTCTGTCCAATACATTACAATGTCGTGTTGAACTAAATAAAATTTAATCACAGCAAAATCCCATGAGCAAACCTCGGCGTTTTGGTAAAACCTTCAATACCAAATATGATCGTGGTTTGTGATTGGCACAAAGCCCGTTCATATAGGTTGGTGGCGACACAAAATCTTTAACTAGTTTTCGTAGTATTACTAGAGGTCTACTAGTGACCTGAACAGACCATTACTTTATTCTAGGTTCCGGGACTAATTGTTCCGGGGCTAATTGTTCCGGGGCTAGTTTTTCCGGGGCTAATTGTTCCGGGGCTAGCTGTAAATATTTTTTCTGGCAATCTTCTCCGGGATCAATAGAAGTTTTATTTTTCCTGAAGTTTTGAAAGAAGCGCAGAAAACGTGTTTAATCCAGGGTTAGCGCTAACTTATGCGAGACATAATTTTCTCCAGTAATTGGCCTAAATAGGCTAAAATACATTTACCTTCGCTTTCATTAACACTGGGAACAATTGCCCTTTCACCATTCCGACCTTCAAGCTTGTTTTCAAGTTTCCTGTACAGAGGTAGCGGACCTGAACGAAACACAAAGATTTAGGAACAAAAAATTCATGTTTAACCTACGTTTGCCTTCGTTCTCCACTTTAAACTTGATTTTAAATTAATCAAAGTGATTGTTTATTTATTTTAATGTTTACAAACCATTGCTTGCACCAGCGGAATGCGTACGAAGGACACACATAACAAAATAAAACCATGTCACTTCAAAAATGAAATGCATGTTGCGAACAAGGTGAACTGCAATTTCCGACGCTCAACTTTAGTAATGAGAAACAAAGCCGTTTCCTATCTGTTATTTCAATCTAACAAACAATATGGCCACAGAAAGATTCGCTACTATATAAGGAAATTACCTAATCTGCTTCTGGTAGAAGTTAGAATTCCCTGCATTTACAAACCCTTTACAATGAGATAGGATTGTTTGGTTTCCCAAGAACCTGTTCACTTATCAATGAAAAAATCGAGTAATGATAACACTAAGAAAGGGAAACAGCAGAAAATATAATTCTTTTTGGCCAGTTAAAAGACTAACTTTGTGGAAATAACTTTTTTAATGTCAATCTTTATAACCCAAAGCCCAACCTAACAACAACCAAGTCTGATATCTCCTTGTGACGTCATTTCGAGTCAATTCACGCCAATATCTCGCGTGATAAGTCTCGCGTGATAAGTCTCGCGTGATATGTCTCGCGTGATAAGTCTCGCGTGATAAGTCTCGCGTGATAAGTCTCGCGTGATAAGTCTCGCGTGATAAGTCTCGCGTGATAAGTCTCGCGTGATAAGTCTCTCGTAATAAGTCTCGTGTGATAAGTCTCGCGCTCTCGCGTGATAAGTCTCGCGGGACGAAAACAAAACAAAAATGGCGACCTCAAATATGGACAAATTTGATGATTTATTTTTTGGTATTCTTCAAAATTGCGAACAAATTGAACCTTTTCTTGATGTTGTGTTTAGTTTCCTTGCTAGAAGGACAGATTTCTTACGTGTAATGCACAACAAGACTGACAAAATGGGCTTTCCTCCTGGAGTGGCAGAAAAAATGTTACTGAAGGTAGACTCGTGTTACAAAATGTCAAAGTATATGAAATGGTCTACATATTACAGTTTCTCGTTAATTTTTACGTAATATGTAGTTGTCAAGACTAAGCTTATTAACCCATTGACCGCCAGTGGCAGTGCTCTCTCCTTGACGAATAAAATCATCTGGTTTTACTAAATTAGACAAAATCTTCACTCAGCAAGTACCCTAAACAGATATAGTCCCCCTCCTGGAAATATCAAAATGGCACTGTGTGGGAGAAAGTCATGGATATTTCCAGGGGGTGACTACTTCTGTTTAGGGAACTTGCCGAGTGACAAATCATGACAAATAGCGCTCATATGCAAAAAACAATGGAGATGTCCTTCTGTGTAGTATTCTGTGTTAATGGGGGTTAACCCATTGGGTACCAGCGCATTGTTCTTTCTTACCCCAAGTTACTCATCTCTTGCAGAAATTCGGAAACAATTGCATACAAATATGGTATATACTTTACCTGATAGATTTTTAAGAAATATCAAGGTCTTGTCCTGCAAAGTGAACAAACTTCTAAAGAAAAGAAAAAGTCAAGCAATAAACAGTCTGCCGTGTCTGATGTGCCGCCTCCCGCAACCTCAACTATCGACGTTCAAACAAGCAATGAAACACCTCAAAACACTTCAGCAAAAGAAAGGTATTGCATGTTGGACAGTTCACAATCTGCAGTTATCTTATTGTCATCCCTACCTACACTGGCACAGATCGTTCAAGGCTTTGGCAATTAAATGGAGTAACATGCTGAAGTAGGATGCTTTAGGGCATATTGCGGCTCAATTGGTTGACATAAGATATGGGGAGACCATATCTATTATATCTGTGGGGGAGACTGGTAAAAATACCTGTTTACACCCAGTCTGTACCAGTGTAGGTAGCCACAATATTAAGACAGCTGTTGATTGACAGAGATGCATTAGAAATCAGAAGGAAAAAATAGTGCTACAACATTGTGATGAAGGGTCTTCACCTAAGACGTCAAAGTTCTGTGTATATTTTTCAGGTTGTTGTATCTCTGTCAATCTGCAAGCAGTTCTGTTCATGCCCAACGTACGGTGTTTGGTGAAGGCAAATTGGAAGAACTCTTGTCACATGTAACGGTGGTGAAATTATAATCACACAATTGCATATGGCACAAATCAAACTCAGGCAAAACATACATGTTTGAATCACCAACACTCTATTCTAATCTATGTATCTTCAGTGAAACTTCCAGTGAAAACACACAGCCTGAAGCTCAAGAGCCATCAAAGGCAGCAGAATGTTTTAATGGTGCAATGTTGGAGAAGTACATGTGGTCTCAGACTGGCAGTGATGTGGATGTACGAGTCCCTGTGGCTAGTAACGTGAAAGGCAAAGATTTTTGTGTAGAAATAAAAGACAAATTTCTCAAAGTTGCTTTAAAAAACACACCAGGTAGATGAGAACTAAATGTTTCATTACAGATGTAGTCTAAAGTTTTGTACATGGAAATTTTGACTGTGAATTTTATACATTTATATATATTAGCTTAAGTTTTCTGGTTTACGAAACACAAACAGTGCTCAATACCTTATAGATAGAGCGTAATATAGTTTTTCGTTTTACCTCAAAATAGCACAACAGTCTGTTTCATCTGATGATTCCTATACAGATGAAACAGACTGTTGTGTATATATATTATATATATATATATACACATATACTACGGTGATGCTAGTGTGAGGTGTATGGATGTTTTGTAGATGCCCAAAATCCTTCTAAAGTTTTGTGTTGGTATGGTTTCAATTGAAATTGGAAAGCTGCAACTTAATTTTCTTCAATCTTAACAGAACCCAAAGTGTTCATTGAGGGAGAACTGCAATGGAAGGTGCACGCAGATGAATCAATGTGGACGCTGATTCCTGGCGAACATCTTCACATATCACTGGATAAAGTCGAGGACAGATGGTGGACATGCGTTATTAAAGGGGACAAGGAAATAGACAAGAGTAAAATTGATACAACACGAAATATCTCAGAATTTGATGAACAAACTCAGAATGATTATGAACGAGTTATGTTTGATCACCAACAGAAAATGATGGGGAAACCAACCAGTCAGGAAATGGTATGGTTATTACTTGAAGGTGGACTTCATTGATCTGATTACAACCCGCACACCCGATTACCTATATATACATGAACTTACGGTTATAGCTCAACAGCTGGCCTCTGTAGCTCAGTTGGTTAGAGTGCTGCACCGGAATCGCAGGGCCGTAGGTTCAATTCCTACCAGAGGACCTTGTGCTGCATTTTTCACAGTCGTTCCTGGTCAGGTCTTAAAGTACTATTTAAAAAACGAGCAGGAGTGTTTTATTAGGTTTAAAGGCACGAGCGTGCAGCGCGAGTGGCTTTAGACCTAATAAAACACAACCTGCGAGTTTTTTAAATGGCTTCAAAAACGTTTGCATAATAAGTCAAATCTTTATATAAAAATCTTTATATAAAAATCTTTATATAGTTTGCATAACAATGGTCTTTTGTTAAAGTGTTCTTTAGCTGGTATAAAGACGTATGCACGCGACTAATTTCTTACTCAAGATTGGATAATTGCTTCATGAATTATTAATGAGTTTTTGAAGTGTATATATACTCACTTGAATTACAAACCCTTAAAAACAGCATTCTATTATTACTTGAAGGGTGTTTTTGATGGAAATTATCAAGTGGAAATTTACGTACACTTTATTAGACCTAACAGTTGGTTAGAGTGCTGCACCAACTTTTTCATAAAATTTCTTACCATATTTTTTCTTGTCTTAGAAAACTCATGAAATGTTGAAGAAAGCGTGGGATGCTCCAAACTCGCCATTTGCAGGCACGCCATTTGATCCTTCACAAGTTAATATCTCAGGAAATTTCTCATGATGATTTTAATGATGCTAATAAATATAGCTTATATAATATACTCAGTTACCAAGAATTTACATTATTTAAATACAAACTATTAAGTTTAAAAACTTGAGTATGATAAGTATTTTACTCTGTTTAATTAATGAGTTAAGTGTTCAAATAGTTTACAAATCTGTACAAAATGAAAAAACTTATAACTCAATTATACTTAGTACAATAAGTTCAAATTAAGGGCTTTGACAAATAGATTTCATCCATGATTGCAGAGTTATTATGCAGTTGAGTCTACCATGAGCAAGGGTGCTGTACTTTATCACAAGAGCAGTCAGTCACAAATTCTTTGCTACCCCAGCTATTCTGCAGAAGTCTATAAAGGCAGTTTTCCACTTCACCCATATTGTACCAAAACATACTGGTGTGAGTATGCGCAGATTGAAAAGAGGTTTATAAAATGAAAAGAGGTTTATAAAATGAAAAGTTTGTTGCAAGTCAACTTTTTGCCATACTACGGAAGTACTAACCAATCAACAGGACTTCACAAAATTTTGAAGTTTAAAAACGTTTTTGATACATTTCGGTATGGTACGCTTGAAGTGGAAAATCGGTTTAAAATTAAGTATGGAATGAAATCTATTTATTGACAGCTTTCAATCGATTTAAAACCTGCTGACTTCTTCCTCAATTCTTTGTCTTGCAAATGTTATCAATTCCTCTCTCTTAATGTGTTTTGTATTCCCAATATAAATATGATGAAAATCTCGAAAGCCGATAAATCCAAAAATAGCTTTTAAATATGGTACTTGAAAATCCAGCGATTTCATTGGCTCGTTAGTAAAGTCTGACGATGACGAAGTAACTAGGAGTAATGGACGTCCAGTAACGAGCCCTTCTGGTCCGTTAGCGGTGTCAGAAAATGTTAAATCAGACTGTACGACACAGTCAATGTATTGTTTGAGTACATAGGGCACACTATAGTTCCACATAGGACAGCTGATTACAACCTTGTTGGCAGCTAAAAGTTGAGAAGTCATTTCTTTCACTGCTACAAGTTTTAGTTTATCCTCTGGGCTGTCTTGACCGGATGCAATTCTCATTTTACTCTCAACATGAGATAAACTAAAGCTTAGTAATTTCTTATCCCAGAGATGAATTTCTTCAATCACGTGCCCCGAGTGAAGTGCTCTATATTTCGCAAGAAATTCATTTGCAATTTGACCGGTAAACGACCGATTATCAGAACCAGAACTATTCAAATAAAGTACCTTACATAAATCATCTTTCACATCACTTGAATGACTTCTACACAATCTTGCACCTTTATCTCGTCTGCCTGACAGCCAAAACCATGATAAAATTGTCCTTTTGTAAGTTGAAAGTTGAAATTTGGAGCAAAGTCCAAAAGCCATCTTTGATTTTTTTGAGAATGTCGCGCGAAAATCCCCACGCGAGAGCTACACTGATCTCAAACGAAACCACTGGATGGTTTGGATTATCGAAAGTTGACAGGGAAAGGGTTAGGGCAGTTGAAAAATTGTTTGTGTTCATTTTGAAGGCACACATTCGCATTGAATACATAGTCTTGAGGAAACATAATTATCTAATCACAGCAGAACGAGCCCTCACTGGGGTGTGAGGTCTAGGGGATGTTTGTGGATTGGAAGGACCAGCAGGTGGCTTTGGTGGACTCTGTGGTGATGTCTGAGACTGCTAAAAAATAAGAAACATGAGAAAATATTGATATTGCACTGAGTACTATCATATGCAGCCACAGACAGTCAACCTGCAGTTATCAGAATGAATGTTTTTCATTATATGTAGTAGTTTTATCTCCGTCCTTGGGCTTAGACCATCAAAATCACCCTTACCTGTAGTGTGGGAAATTGTTCACTGTATTCTCGTCCTTTATACAACTGACCATCATGGCCCTGGACTGGGGACTCATTCCTATGCGGAGAAAAAGAACGTCAACATCACAAAGTCAAAAACCCTACGAAGGGTTGAAGTATTTTTAGTCTGCCGAATATACGTAGAACAGAATTTCTGTATCACTATGACGCTTAAATTTCGAGTTAAAAAAGTAAAATACACGAAGGCAATCACGAAGAATATCGATCAGGAATGAAATTCAAAGATAAGGAAGAACGTACTTCAGTGATATTATGACGCCCTCATCTTCTCTGTAATAATAACTAGAAAAGAAATATATCAAATAATCAATATCAGAAGTAAAAAGATACAATTGATGATAAAAAGTTGTTCTTACTTCACGTTTTTATTCACTCTTCTTGCCGAGTACGTCATCGTATGCTGTCCTCCACAAGGTCGTGTTGACATGTGATCTGCACCATCGTAATTCCTAAAAATTGAACCAAATAATTGTTCTGTGGGTCTTTGCATAACATGCAGTATAACAATAATCACGATCCAGTTGTCAGAATGTTGCATTGGACTGTGTCCTTAAGCTCAGCTGTCAGTATGGATGTTTAGCACACCTCCACAAACTCACTTACCCTCTCGCGTGCTGCCTCATCTGCTCCAGCTCATAAGGGGCGTAAGGACGTGATGACTTGGATGGAGGAAATGCGGGATACTGGGGCAATGGAATGGCATTCCTAGGAAAAGAAAGAAGGAGTTTTTTATGAGCAATGGACACGATAAATACAACATGAATAAAATAATGTTTTACTAAATGTTCAACTCACATTCCCGGCTGGACATCAATAGGTTTGGCGCATGATATACAGTGGAACTTTATTGCTGGTCTAAATTTAAACAAAAGTAACTAATTCGAGACCATACCGAGCAAGGTAGATACACGACAATCATTACATTAAAAAATAACTAAATCACACATACGCACAGCTCACAAAAATTCAAGCATAATATATTTATTTAGAATTATAATTTGACAATTACTTGGTCATTCCAGCGGCAGAGTCGTCAGTTACTGGCAAGTCAACATGTTTGCATTTGTTGGCTTTGATGCGTTTGTCTGTAACGATAAAGATCATTAGTATCGCAACATACAACGATGAGAATCGATAGATTTGATAGTTCCACCACGGCCATTGAAGAACAAAGAGAAACAAAGTCTTACTGATATAATCTTTCAAAGGATCCATTTCCATGCGGTCCATTTTTTCATCAACTTCGTTATTCAGTTTAGATACTGCTTCTTGTAAGGCAGCTTCCTATAACACAAATGGATTTAATTTTATTTAACTGCAAATAATAATTGAACAGCAAAAGATGTGAATTGCCCATAATCTGTATAAGACATTCCGAGAACCTGTTGACATCAGCCATATAAGATATTTAATGATGGACAAGCATGGAAAAATTGGAAGCCATGGACCTGTCACCAAGACAACATACAAGCAACAACTGAAGTGATGTAGCTAACCTGTCCAGCGAGTCTGTTCAAGATATCCTGTACTGAATGTTCCAGGGTTCCAAAACTCGCATCAAACTTTAACCTGCTAATCATGTTATCCAACGCCAACTTGTCAGCTTTCTACCAAAGAGAAAAAAGGTTTTTAATAAGATCTTTGTCCTCTGGTGACGGTAAACACAGAAGTACTTTATCTGGGAAAGATCAGTTTCTACAGTCCGAACAACTTACAGTGTCCATTTCCATGCCAACAGAATCTTTATCAGCTTTCGTTTGGTCCAGAACCTCTGTGACGGAGTGCAGTTTCTACAAAATAATAATACACAAAACTTTCGTCAAGAATCATCATCTGACTAAGCTCGTCCCTGGAGACGCATCACAAGCATCTGTCGCAGTAACAGTCGAGTAATTGAAACGTGTAAAAGAAAATCAACTCACATCAATATGTTTCTGTTTCTTGTCTCCGTCTTCAATTAGGTTTCGCGTGGAAATGTTTAATTTTTGAAGATTCTCACGAAACTCTCTCATACTCTGCTCAATCTCATTTAAATCTTCATTGCTCTATACACAACAAAAATATAGATTATCGTACTGTATTTGCTGTTATTTAGATCTCAATTTCTCACTGCAGAAACAGACAACAACCTGAGTAATGCAACTTCATACATAACTTGCGCTCTGAACTGCGGAACGCAAAAAGGAAACGCGAAATTTAACTTCTGTAGTTTAATTTGTTAAAATTAGATGTTATTCTCTATGTTTAGAAATGTTTCTTAATTTAGTTCTTTGTACGCTTGCTTGTTTATGTCAAAGAGTAATGTAAGATTTTACTAGATATTGTTTTAAATAAAATACCTGACGTCCCCTGCCATCAATAGGAGGTAGAATGCCATTCTTGTTTTTAAGCTTTAAGTTTAATGTTAGTGATAGTTAGTAACTATGATTAGTTTGTCTTTACTTTTGTTAAAATTTATCAACAATTTAAGATTTAGTTATATACTTAAGTTAGATAAAATTAGTTTTATATAATTATATGTCGTTTTAATTTCTCTATGCTGGTTCAAAGTATTATGTTAACATGAGTTTAAGTTAATATTAATGTATAATGTGTATGCTTTTATTGTTTCAGCATTACAGACACAATACAATCAATATCATCTACCTTATTGATCATCTCATCTTTCCAATTGATCATGTTTTTCATTTTGGTATTTAATTCATTCAGTTGTCTTATGAGATCATCAGGAAGTTCTGGATGTAAAGTAATTATTAGTTCTGACAACACAGTAGATATGTGGTCAAACATAATAAACAAACAAGTAAAACTTAGACTTACCTTGAGTCTTTTTTCTTAATTCTTCTAAATCTTCCTTGTCAGCTTTGGTTGGCATTGTTTCCTGAGAAAATATGATAACAGTCAGTTGATACCTGGAAAATACAATTAAAAACAGGGCTGTCGAGGGGGGGGGGGGAGGCAAATTGCCCAGACCCGCTGGCTCTGGCCAAGAAATTGGCCCCCATATTTTGCCCCAGGCCCCCGAAAAGCTCTTGGCGGCCCTGATTAAAACTTCATCGGGAAGTTTGTGGTCCTTCACTTGAAACATCAAAAGTTACTTGACAATGTATTTTTCAGGCAGTTCAAGCCCTCTCAATGTTTTTAACAGTCAGTTGGTGACAAATGGTGAGTCAGTCAGCCATCTAGTTAGTCAAAGAATCAGATGATTACCTGCAGTCCTTCAATACTGTTCAGTACGGTTTCATGTCCATCTGCTATGCTACCAAGCTGTTTGATGGTGTCTAACACACCAACACTCGGGACCTCCTCCCTTGATATAGCTTTATTTGAGTCAACATTAGAACTGCCAGATTTCAATGCAGATTCAAATTGAGGCCATTTCATACACACATCAAAATCTTTCTTTGTGGGTAAAGATTCAACTTTGCTGTGTAGATTTTCCTAAAATTATAGTTTGCTGTTGTGAGAATATAATCCAATAATAAACATCAAATGCTTGTTTCATTATCTATCAGAACATCTCCTTCCATTGTTTAACATTACGAAACTGCACACAGGCTAAACATTAAAAATCTCAAACATAAGTTAATTAACTTACAACATCTTCCTGTAGAATTTTTAACTTTTTTATATCTTCATTACGGTCTAAAAGTAGATTGGGAAAATGTTGTCGGTTAGTGTGTGATGGATATTATAACCATGGTTCAATTCCTGCAATATGCTGGTGTCTGAATCTAACTTCACCTCATTCACATTTGAGAAGCATTCATCCAGTTTCACTATGGTCATGCTCGACTAATAAGTATGGATCTCTAGGGAGAACTTATTTAATACAACTGACTGAGCATACCTGAATCCTCAACTGTTTCCAGCCTTTGTTTCAGTTGTTTGTTTTCTTCTTGTATCTAGACAACAATATGAGTAGATCATTAAACCAGAACATAATAATTTGGCCTAGAAGAGGGTTTACAGAACCATAGTATTATCATCTGATATAGCTCAACTTACTTGTGTCACCGATTTCTTTAACTCTGACAAATCCCTTTCTAAATCTTTCATACCACCAAGTTCAGAAATAGCATGTTCCAACAGTCCAGACAGCTATAAACAGATCAGAGAGGTAAATACTATAGCACTTCTGGTTGTCACCATACAAACCATGTCTGATCATGTCTGTGCAAGTGGTGCTTTTTCATGGGGGGGGGACAAACAAAAACAGTTCAAAGCACAGGAGAGGTCGAGCCAACCACAAGTTGTCACGCACATCAATTCAAGGCAGGGTAGCTACTACTTATCCTAACACCCCCCCCCCCCCAATCTAAAAATAACCCCAGACAAGAGTCCGATGTCACGGTGACAGCAAATTGACTGCAAAAAGTCTATAACAATACGTGACAGCTGATGAAATATTAGACATTTTAGCTACCTATTTCTTTGCTATATCCTACCTTCTCAATAGCATCTTCCGTCGCTGATAATCTTCTATTTATATTAATAAACTGCCAAATATCACCAACTGCTGTTTTGGTATCTCTCTCGCGAATTCTCTTAACAATATCAGCATTATTTGGTAAATCATCTAAAGCTTTTAATTTATTTTCCAAATTGGTAACTTTAGCTTCTAAATTCAGTCCATTTAAACCTTGTGAAAGAGGAGTCTTCGCATTAAACGCTTGTCGTTTACTATCAAAACCTTTCCCTGCTACAGGCACACTATTCGTGCCATATGAACCACTGAAGTCGCCATTATTTCGAACTTCTACGAGCTTACTCCCGACCCCTAATGTCTTAATAATCTCAGACAGCACGCCATGTAAAGCATTAAAGTTTACAGCTCCTATTTCGGGCGTTCCAAGCGCTAAATTCAACAATTTATCGAGCTCCATTCCTGCCGACATTTTGCTCTTGTGATATGAAATGTTTTGTGATGTGACTGTATCTATATGTACATGTGTGTTGTTAGGGGCAACAGTTGACTCACTGACATAAAATATTTATATTTTTAATTTCACAACAACTGGTTCAAATATTTACCGCTCACGACATCAACTGAAATGTTTCAAAACAATTTCAAAATATTGATGCTAGCAACACTATAACAAAATACAACCGATCCTGTAAAGTATTAACTTGATAGCGTATTACTGAAAATGTTGCATTGTCCTTTGAATGAAGGAACACTAGTTAATTATGATTATCTACATTTCAATGATTCTAAATTCTATAAATTAGAACTTCAACCCGACAATGAGAATATTTAAATAATTTCAAAACCTTACGACCTTTATATTCTAAACAAAACAAAGTTTCAAACACTCTTTTTACTGTCCATTTTAAGAACGAAATCGATGTGATATTGTAACCTGTTACACATCATTGACATCATGAGAGCGTCAGCCGTCAGTCATTTACTCAGAACTTGTAAAATTTACGAATTATTAAATCATTGATGATACTAAAGGATGGTTTAATATCATTCAATATTTGCAGAATCACTGAAGCACACGGTGTTACGCAATGTTTAAAGTTCCTTTTTCAAAATAATGAAATTTATCAGTTGACGCTCCATTAATTCTGCAAATGCTCCATAGTGGTTTCTTTGGCTTTCGTCACTTCAAGTAATAAAGATTTGTCGAGCGTAAATTTGTCCTTGATCACACGAAAAACTTTGAAAAACACTCCTACGTCTATGATATAATTCAGGTATCCATTCGGGCCCACAGAAGTGTTCTCATTTCAAAGTTTTCTCTCTGAAAAGTTCTTTGTCATAATTATTACCTTTTCCCTTTTCGTATACCTCCTTGTTTTGAATTTCCACCTTTCCCTTTCTTCTTCGAGTTACTTACTTTCTGTCTTTTGCTTCCTTTCTTATTATCATTCGAAGTTCTAAATGAAACAAGAACACGTTGTTTCCACATATTTACGACGACGTTATACAAAGTGCTTATTCTAAGATACGACATGATTGAAGAGGAAAACTACGTATCTACCAAGCTGGACTCACTTCGTCTGTTCAATGTTAATATGTTGATTCGTCGCCTTCTTCACATCTAGAGTTGGTTGTTTTCCAATTTTTCCCAGGAGATCTAAATTTCGCTGTTTTTCCGTCTTGAAATTACCAACAGTAGTTTCGAACTTGAAAAATGGTTTAAAAAATGGCAAATGTAAGCTTGGTATACTTTTCAGACACAAAAATAGTTATGCTTCACTAAGCATTGTCGTGCAGCAGATGGTGGTCAACCTGCAGTTATCAGAGTGAGAAATAACATTACTTAGAGAGTGGTCATTATTTATGGG